AACAGGAAGGGGCCATCCCCAAACTCTTCCAACAAAGTTGGAAGCATGAAATTGTCCAAAATGTCTTGGTATGCTGAAGCCTTAAGAGTTTCCTTCACTGGAACTAAGGGGTCCAAGCCCAACCCCTGAAAAACAACTCAACACCATAATCCCCCCTCCACTAAACTTTACACTTGGCACAATGCAGTCAGGCAAGTACCATCCTCCTGGCAACCGCCAGACACGTTTATCAGATTGCCAGAGAAGTGTAATTTATCACTCCAGAGGACACATCTCCACGGCTCTAGAGTCCAGTGGCAGCATGCTTTACATCACTGCATCTGACGCTTTGCATTGCAATTGGAGATGTAAAGCCTGGATGCAGCTGCTCAGCCATGGAAACCCATTCCATGAAGCTTTCTATGCAGGGTTGATGTGCTAATCTGAAGGCCACATGAAGTTTGGAGGCCTTTAGCTATTAACTCTGCAGACCGTTGGAGACTTCTGCACAGTGCACTTCAGCATACGCTGACCTCGATCTGTCATTTTCCGTGGCCTACCACTTCATGGCTGAGTTGCTGTTGTTCCCAGTTGCTTCCACTTTGTTATAATACCACTAACAGTTGACCGTGGAATATTTAGTAGCAAGGAAATTTCACGGATGGACTTATTGTACAGCTGGCAACCTATCACGGTACCATGCTTGAATTCGCTGAGCTACCTATTCTTACACAAATGTTTGTAGAAGCAGTCTGCATGTCTAGGTGCTTAATTTTACACACCTATGCCCATGGAAGTGATTGGACACCAGAATCCAATGATTTTGGGGAGTGTCCCAATACTTTTGGTGATAGATAGTATAGTTAACCTGCCCCATTGACAACCCCACTGTCCGCTGGTGTTTTGACTGCTGTCCCATGAGCTGAAAAATATTTTGTGCAGGGTAAGGCTGAGAGTAACATTGCTACAAAGGGTTTAAACCATTTATTGAAAAGGTCAACATTCAAACCACCCCTCCTCCCCCTTCAAGTTAACAAATCAGTTTGTGAAACATGGCTTCTATTGCAACATCACTTTTTTGTTCTCTAAATATGAAAAAAAATTCTTACCAGTACACAAAAGGTCTGGAAAGCGCCACAAGCAGACCCCAGTGCACAAAGGTCACATTGCATGCTCACTCCACAAGTCCAGTCCATCAGTTCAGATACAGCATTTCAAAGTCAGGCTGAGAATAGACTGATCTGGGTAGCTATGCAAAGACTAGCTCAGACAGCGATGTAAGGAACCTTGGTTGAACTTAAAAGTGGTATTAGACCCAAAACCAAACATTTATTGTATTGCAACTTAGCAATCAATCAATAGACCTGATAACATCAGTTTTCTTTTCATTGGCATTTATACCCTCTGTCTTCACCTAGGGATCTGGCCAGTAAAACACCTCCTGTATTAGAATGGACAGAGGACACAGCAGGCAGCAGCATTGTCAGTCTGGGGGGATGTGAGTGTTAAATGTAAAAACAAATGGAAGCCAAACTCCAGCTCACACTTATGTTTTTTTTTTTCCTTTTGGGATAAAAGTTTTACATGAATAAATAAAAGCTGCTCATTTTAATTTGCCTTGTCAGTGGTAAATGGATTGTCTCCTCCATGTAAACAGATACATTCTGCTGAAGCGCTTGAACTTCTGAAAAACAGCAGAGTTGTTGGCTGATTGACCAGATGAAAATAGAAGAAAGCCTTGAAAAGGAAACTAATACAGCCATCACATTTAACATTTGGTAAGCTGCAATAAAATAAATATTTGCTTTTGGGTTTCCTACTGCTTTAATGAAAGAAGAATCCAAAAGAAGAAAAAAACTGAAGAAAAAAAAAGATCACAAAAAAGGTGGATATACTTTTCTCAGCAGAGCTGAAGAAAACATGCCCATTTTCCTAGGACACCAGCAAAAAAACAAAAAAACAAGGCATGCTGGGAAGAGGAGGGGCTTATCCTGGGTCAATTTACAATTTTTAGGTTTACTGCTATCCAATCCTTCTGTAGGTAGTATAATCCAACAATATCTGAATTCCTATAATTTCCAATATATATTTAAAATCATTTTTCCTGAATTTTACACCTGGCGATCCTGCCAGTTAAAGACATGAAAAAACACTTGTGCAAAAGAAAAAGTCATACGTGTTATTTGGGTTGCTGCTACTCTCAAGGAAGTAAAAACACCATGCAATAAAATGTAAATACCTTGTTAAATCCAATAAACTGTCTAGGTAAATACCAAATACAATGCGCATTTAATCTGAACGAAGTGAAAAATAAATCGCATAATAAAGTGCATAACCGTAAAAGTGCTTCACAATAGTGCGTGGAAAAAAAGTCTCCTCAAAGTGCTCCAAAATCAGCAAGTGCAGCTGCGCATTAACTCATCAAGTGACTGGCCCTTTAAATGGGTACTTCAAAAGTGCTGTGTATTCACTAATGCCACCACAGCAATCCACCATCTGTGCCCCGACCAGGGTATGCACTTAATCGCAGGAAATGAATCATCAAGTGCACAATGAGGTGGAGCACACTATAAAGAAGAATCTCTCTTGCATTAAGCCACAGTGCAGGGAACCTCAATCCACTCGCCCATATATTTATGAAAATAAAACCATGGGGAACATCATAGGGTATCACCTCTTTTTTAATTGGAACCCATTAAAAACAAAATCAAATGCATTCCCAAAAAATATACCTTTCCCAACACTAAGGATAATCTGCCAAAGTCAATGTACAGCGGCGGCGCCTCTCTGATATAAGTGAGTTGTAAACACGTTAAATAATTTGCCAGTGTTTTATAAGGCAAATATATTTCCGGTCCTGGGGGGTGGGGGTTGGGGTTGGAGGGTTCACCTTTAAAAGTGAAGGCAATTGGCAGCATATAGAAAAAAGGCAGAAGAGAGACTGTGGTTGGCATGCCTCCTGATGATGTCCTGGTTATGACCAAACATGCAGAGGCCGAGACTTCCGGCACCATGTAATTTCCTTAACACGAGAGTAACCTCTTAATAAAGCCAGTGTGACCCACCTCAGTGTACACTTGGCGAGTCAATTCTTGCAGGTGAGTGCATACCCTGGTGGGGGCACAGATGGTGGATTGCTGTGGTGGCATTAATACACAGCACTTTTGAAGTACCCATTTAAAGGGCCGGTCACTTGATGAGCTTATACATAGCTGCATGTTGTAGATTTTGGAGCACTTTATAAGGAGACTTCTTTTCATGCACTATTGTGAAGCACTTTTACGGTTATTCACTTTATTAATATGCAAATTATTTTTCACTTCGTTCACAATGAATGCACATTGTATTTGGTATTATCTAGAGAGTTTATTTATTGGATTTAAAGAGGTAAGCGCAGCTCTTTTAGATCCTGCCAGTAACACTTCCTGTCCCGGGGAGGCAACACTCAGAGTTGCATCTTTAGATAAGAGCAGTGTTGGCACCCTAGGCTATTCCCAATTTGAGTGAATAAGATTAAAATAAGAAAAAGTAAAGCACTTGCATAAAACAGCTTGGGGGATTTCCTCTTATGGCACGTTCACCCCCACAGCAGTCCTTAGTTCATCATTCAACAATCTATGGTCAACAAAAAGCAATTCTAGTCAAGAAGTAAAATCAATCAGTAAACTGGTTTTACTATCCAGAAAACTGGGCTTAAAGGAGAGTTCCACTCACTCTGTAAAAAAAAATAAATGTCAGCAACTACAAAAAAATAACTGCTGACCTTTAAAAAAACAGCCACTCACCTGTCCCACTGACCGTCCTGTGTTCCAGACACCGGCATCTTCAGTGTGGGCACCCGGCTGTGACAGCTTGCGGCTTCACAGCCGGGTGCCCACTGTGCATGCACGAGTAGTGCTGCGCTTCCTGAATGGCCGTCTTCTGGGACCTATCACGTGTCCCACAAGACTACAGGGAGGGAGGGTAGGAGGACAACTTCCACTTCAGATCACCTAGGTGATCGCAGCAGAAGCGGGTACCTGTCAATTTCAGGTACCTGCTCCCCAAGGTGCCAATCCTTAATGGGGAGCAGGGGACCAATCGTTAAAGCGAAACTTCCCCTTTTTAGGTGGAACTCCGCTTTAAGTTAAAAAGTTAATTCTGCTTACAGTGAGAGTGGTGTGAAATATACACCTGTCTTGTTTCCTGTATTGCTGTGTTAGACTGCAGCTTCTTATCACATGAATAGGGTGTGTGTGAAACTGCCCTTCTCTTAGTGTGTGAAAAACATTGGGTGGGACTGAACACCTGGCTTTGATATTCATGACTGAGTAGTTTGTGCTCTCCATGCACCAAACTACCTGCAACAAGGCAATTTTAAGCAGTAGGACAACGCATCACACTGCGGATATGCTTGCTTAGGAAAAAAAAACAAAAAAACAAAATTATATATGTGCTGGAAAGGTACATGTTTCTGGGATGCTTTTAAAAACGTAAATTTTCAGTTGTGGGTGGTGCATACCTTTGAACTTTTTACTACTAAACACACTTACCTGTTAACAGTTTAACCAATAAACACTGTAAACAAATCTGATAATGTAGATTTAGGCATCTTTATTTCATAACATACTCAACACAGAGTCCCGCGTTAACTAATCCCAAAGTAAACAAGTCTTTATTTCCATGAGAGAATGGAAATCAAGACGGCATCAAATGGAAGAATAGGTTTAAATAAAACGTCATTCATTCAGTAAAATCGCCATCGGAAGTTCATGAAACAGCGGTAGGCAGGTTGTAGAACTGTGCACAAGATTTCAGGGCTAGTAGAACAGTTCACTTGCTTGGAAATGTGCAGGTTGATGTAACTGGGATGATTCTTGGTAATCCATTGGTAGGACTAAGGAAGGCGTATCCATAGCACCAGTCTTTTACTAAAAGTGCTGGAGGACACTTCACTGGCTCTTTACTGCCTCGTGGAAAATTAAGGATCAGAGCACAGGAAGTATCAGAAAAATTCATAAGTCAGTTTGTTGCTCACATTACTATAAGTATTTTCGAGCCACATAGTTTAATATTCCTCCTTGCTTATAGAATGTGATTTCTGCCTCTTTATCAAAGGCGGCAATGACATTGAATAACTTTCCACTGGTTGTCTGAAAGGAAACAAATGCACAAGTTTAATGAATGTTTGAGCACTGTCAGAAGGTTATAAATCACAGGTACCCTAAGGTTGGAAAAATGACTCACAGTTAGTGTATAGTAAAGTTCTTATTCACATTAGGCTTTTGTATGTCTAATGTGACAATCTGTGGTGGAGATAAGTTGTACTGGAGAAGAAATACCGATTCATGCGAAGCAAGGCTCGCAGTAGTAAAGAAACTCATTCTACACCTATGCATTATACTGTAACACAAAGTTATCTGGTAAAAAAAAAACTCTGATGGCAGTGGGCAACAACATCCAATTATTAATAAGTCTAAAATAAACCACACCCAGTTTATAAAAGAAACATAATCAAAATATTCACCTTGATTTCCATTGTGTCCCCAGGAGCCAAACTGTCAGGAATAGAAAAAGAATACTGCTCTTTTCCTGAAAGGCCAAGTGATTCGGCACTGTCTCCAGGTAAGAACTGAAGAGGAACAATGCCAATTCCAACCAACTGGTCTTTATGGATCTTCTCATAACTTTCAGCTATCACAGCCCGAACACCCTGTTGCAGATGATAAACATTAGGAAGAACACTCAGTTCATCCTGGCATTTCACATTTGAGCTTTCAAACATACCTTAAAAGTCTTGGGGAGACCAGGTAAAATGTATAACCTCACTTTCTTACCCAACCACTTTTTACCTAGTACCTACAGGTAAGGCTATAATAATTCACACTTGAAGCAGCCAGTGAGGTCATCGATGAATGCGCACTGAACTCTGAAATGATGGCTTACTCAGTGTGCTGTCAATTCAGAGTGCTGTGTCATGGACGTGACATCATCATGGCCTGGCCATTCAAAAGGCCAAAGCCTGTGAATCTGGAAGACCAGGTGAAGATGGAAGCCTTGTCAGTGGTGACAGTACTCTGATGGAAGGCTTCATTTTAAAACACGTCTGTCATAGCTTAAACTATCCAGGGGCCCACATTTTTTTTTTTTCTTCCAGGAGTTTACTACAGCTTTCATTTCCTTTTTCTCACCTGATACAGTATGTGCAATTTTTTGCAAGACGTAGTATACAATACCATGAATAACTAGTTAATATGACAACATAACACTAGAATAAACTATTCCTAGAATGACTGACCTACCATATAAAAATAAATTTTCTAAAACATTCCAAATTTAGAACATCTGAAAACATACCAACAAAAATGGTCCTTTGGCTGCCCAATCTCTTGAGTTTCCTGATCCATACTTTTTGCCAGCTATAATAATAACTGGAATATCTGCTTTTTGGTAAAGTTCTGCGGCATCAAATACATCCATCTGCAACATAATATCCAATTAGCATATTATATATGTACATGAAAAGCATTAATGAGTTCCTCACATACAACTGCTCACTTTGCAGAGGAAAAACCAAATACTGCAAATACATTCAGACACAAGACAACGGTTAAGCAAGTCAAACCAAACATAAATGCATCAACATATATATCTCAAGTACCCACCGTCTGTCCAGATGGAAAATGAATGGTCTTAGGCCCCATTTTGACAACAAGTTTATTCTGAAGCTTCATGTTTGCAAATGTGCCTCTAGTCATCACTGCATCGTTGCCTCTTCGGGCTCCGTATGAATTAAACTCCCTGGGTGCCAGGCTTCAAGAAATGATAAACAATGGTTTGTCAAAATATGAAATCAAACTAGCACAGACAATAAATACAGAGCATTACACAAAGAACAACACTTCATAAAACAACTCACTTCCTTTGTGCTAGGTACTTGGCCGCTGAGCTGGCACGAGGGATGCTTCCTGCAGGAGAAATGTGATCAGTAGTCACTGAATCTCCTAAATAAAGCAGCACATGGGCTTTCTCAATTGGCTGAACAGGTGCTGGGATATTGTCCTAAAAAAAGCAAAGGGCAAAACATACTCAAAATTCTACACTGGAAGAAAGGATGCATGAGTTGAATGTGAAGGGACAGAAAGTTAAGTTGAAAAGGTTTTAAATTTTGCTGTATATACGCTTTTTTTCAAAGTTTGAATTTCCAAACAGAAATCAAGCAGTCATAATAAAAAAACCCACAAATTTTATTGAATATGTTTTCTAGCAGAAAGTAAAAAAATGTTTTTACATTTTGGTCTTTCGTTTATAGCACAAAAAAGCCTATAAAGCATTGCACCCATGATCAGCAGATCAAAGGTTCAGTGTCAGTCTCCTGCTGACTGTCAGTGTAGCGGCCTGCCTGTACCTCTGATATGAACAATGACAAGAAGCTCAATGGACTAAAAGAGTGCTCTCCAGCACTTTTGCAGTTCATTAGTTCATTGAGAATTAAAAGCCATCAGCTGCAAAGGTTGACAGTACTTGTAGGCATTCATTCACAGATCTCTGTGAATGAACGACATGGCTATGTGAGGAAAGTCCCCAACAGCCGTGCTCTTTTCAAATTGTGACAGCGGATGCAGGGGATTGCTGCAGATGAGGGAACAGGTCGCGTTGCACCCTAAAAATGGGTGGAACATGTTAAACACATTCTCAAAGGTGAATTTATTCCTTAAGCACTCATTCAGGAACTGCCTGAGCAACAGATGCTGTTTCTAGCAGCAGGATCCCAGTGTTTCCTAGTGTCCATGACTTTCCAAGAGATCCGGAGATTCTTAAGGCTCCTTTAGCTGCACCCCCATGCCCCTATTTCCAAGTGACTTCACAAGTGGAATCTCCATACTCCGTGTTACCCAGCCTATTCCTAGTGACTCTGTTTCTGCCTGTAACCTGTATCTTTGCACCTATTGTCTCCTCTGAGCATTCCAGCATACGTACAGCTTTGGCTGTACTACCTTCTGACCTTTGATCCCAGCATTTCAGTGCTGCAAGGACCTCTTACCTGTAGCCTTAACTTCCCAGTAGCAGCTTGCTCGGGTGAGTCAGAGGGCCGCAACTTGGGGACTCTGCAGTGTAGCCAAACCCCACTTTCAGGAGCTCTGGAAAAAACAAGGCTGTTCCTTAGACTCTGTGCCTTGGCACATCCAAAAGGTCCCTCATCTTCAATGTGCGAGTGTGCTCCCCCATTGGTGCCATAAGGTATCGTCTCTGTTCTAGACCAACTGTATCTTGTGTATCTGCATTCTCTCTGACTCCCTTCTCCCAGTGAGCCCAGAACCCTGTGCTGAAAGCCTTTATTTACTAGTACGCTTACCTGTCTGTAAGGCCAACACTCCCGCACAGACCTGCACTAGCCTACTGCCATTCCTGAGTCTAGTATTTTATGCTTTCCCAAATTCTCATCCCGAGTTTTCCCATACTGTGGTCAGCTGTAGCCTGCATGGGTCCACTCTATGAGCACACTGCGATCCAGGGTGCAGGCTGCATGGAGGTTCCACGATCCCCAAACATATGCAACAGTTGGTACACAAAACAGAGTAACTTTCAAAGACTTTACATATAATTCCCTATGTCATTAGGCCCAGGCAAGCAAAATCTCTAGAATGAAATTTAGGCATTGCAAAATCTGCCATGACCTTACCAAATCATATCTGACACTATTCCAAGTGAAGGTGATCTAAGAACAATACCACTTAAAGGTTGTAGTGTCAACAAGGGTAACCCAACCATCTGCATTCAATCTGATATGAAGCAAGGACAAAGTCTTTCCTAAGTATTGATCTGAAGTTCAGATTTACTCACTAGTTTGTAGAAAAAAGGTGGACTTCTGATATAGGTGGATCTGTGATCCCAAGGGAACACAGTGCTATCAGGTGCTTCAAGAAGGTTCCACCTTGTATTCTGCTTCTGAAAGATAAACAAACATACTGAATGTTACCAGTCCATAAAGACAATGTTCTACACACAAATACAGCAACAGTCATTTTAAAATACTCAAAATCTTCTGCTACTCTGATATGAACCACAATAAATATCAAGTTTCGCTTAAAGGGGTTGTAAACCTTACACATACCCAGTGAAGTGACTAGCCTCAGGTGACAAACAGATGAAACAAATAATAATTTGTACCTGTATCTGCAGTCTTCTCTTCTCAACATTTGTTTAAAGTCCAGAATTTACAAAGTGTGCTTGAGAGTTCAGAAAAAAAAGGGGGAGGAGAGCTTAAATTACACTCTGCAAAGCTCAGCCAGGACAGCTCTGAGAACTTACTAGCGGAAGGGACACACACCCCTTGACACCGCTCACAGGAACAGAGCTGAGGCTGTCAATCTGCTGGAGGTCCCTCCACTGTCACCATTTTTCTCTTGGTGTCAGGAAAACTTGTCAGAAGGGATTCATGCTGATAACAGGAACAAAGCAGCAGACAGAAATTGAAACAAGTACACACTAGAAAGGGATATGCTTTAATATTTCATGTCAGAGGTTTACAATCACTTTAAGCGTTCATATGCACATAGCCATACGCGGGTCGTACAGCATGCAAAGCCCCAGTAAAGTCTCTCCTGGGACCTAAAGCCTCCCATTGGGATGAATCAGATGCAACTGTATACGTGTTTTTCCCCAGGATTTGCATAATGCACCCTTATGCACACTGATGTGTCCAAATGCAGATAGCGTGCAACTGGAGCATATGTCAGTACGCATGGGGGTGCCTTACACAACACCCACAGCATAACCCTCTACAGCTGCATGTTAGAAATCTCAATAGACAACTGTACGCGGCAGCAGCAGGTCTTGGAGAGTCATTAAGCAAGATCTGCATGCTGTAAAGCCATATGTATTAAGTCAAAGACTGTCCTTTCGTACCTCTATTTTAATTTTTAATTCTTTAAACATAGATGGAATGACTACATTTTCCTCCACTTGTAGAACCTCCTCACGGCTAGGCCAAATGTCCTGCAGGAAGATCTTCTTGCCCTGAGCATTCTCCCCTAATACAAAACACAAATAGAAAAAAAAAAAATGATTTCTCACAGCAATTATGTGGCTGTCTGCATATACATTTGATCCACTATTCATATCGGATATATGGTTGTGCCCTAAAGGGACACTGTACCCTGTAAAGTCCCGCAAAGATCAAACTACCACCCTTTTTTTTTCCATTTCTATGAGATATGTAGGGGTAGTAAAAAGGGAGGTAACATGCTATTTATGTGTGTATAGTAATCCTTTAAAGCTTTAAAGTAGGGATGCAGCGAGATTTCAGTGGCTAAAAATACCCCTTTTGGCCGTTTGGCCGAAAAAAAAAAAAAAAAAAAAAACTCCGCCCCTCACTGCCATCCGTCGCTCGGTAGTTCTCAGCCTTACCTGGGAAACCATCGATTCCGGGGCTGGGCATAGAGATGAGTGAAAAAAAGATGGCCGCCACTCATCTCTATGCACTTGGAGGACCTGAGAGATGCAACTTCCCGTCCATTTTTTTTTTTTTTTTCTTATTAAAGCACTAGATCAATGCTTTTTTTTTTTTGATCCAATGCTTTACATTGTAGAGGAGAGATGTAGGGTCTTATTGATCCCATAACTCTCCATAAAGAGGAACTGTCACTAATTATTTCTATCACAACAGATGCATGCAATTCTTGTGATAAGAATAAAGGTGATAATTTTTTTTTTCTAAAAAGGGACACTGCAAAAAACAAAAAAAACATAAAACAAACCCTTAAAATACATTTTTTTAACCACCTCCCGATCGCCATATAGTACAATGATGGGTGCAAGGTGGTTCTCTCGTTCTGGGAGGACGTCATATGACGTCCTCCCATTCTCACCGTGCATGCGCAGCTCAGGGAGCGCGCGGGCGATCAGTGGTGCGCTGTGTCCCTCGGACACAGCGGATCACCGATCACGGAAAGAGCCGAAGATGTAAACTCAGTCATGTGATCAGTTGTGTCCAATCACAGCTGATCACATGTAAACAGGGAAATGCCGGTTATCGGCATTTCTCTACTCTCGAGCTGCCACGTTGACAGCTCGAGAGGAGAGCCGGTAATAAGCTTTCCGCGGAGGGGACATGTACACTGATCATCAGGGTACTGATGATCAGTGCCACCTGTCAGTGCTCATCAGTGCCTCATGCCAGTGCCTACCAGTGCCCATCAATGACATATCGGGGCCCATCTGAGCTGCCTTTCAGTGCCGCCCATCAGTGCCCACTACCAATGCCTCATCAGTACCCATCAGTGCCACATATCAGTGCAGCCTATCAGTGCCTACCACTGCAGCCTCATTAGCGCATATCAGTGAAGGAGAAAAATCACTTTACAAAAAATTTTAAAACAAAAAACTAAGAAAAAATGTTTTTTTTTTTCAAAATTTTCAGTGGTTTTTGGTTTGTTTAACCACTTGCCTACCAGGCACTTATACCCCCTTCCTTACCAGGCCAATTTTCAGCTTTAAAGCGCTGCCGCACTTTGATTGACAATTGCGCGGTCATGCAACATTGTACCCATATGAAATTTTGATCATTTTTTTCTCACAAATAGAGCTTTCTTTTGGTGGTATTTAATCGCCACTGGGCGCTTTACTTTTTGCGCTATAAATTAAAAAAAGTGCAAAAAAATTTGAAAAAAAAAAAAGTTTATTTGTTTCTTTTATAAAATTTTTCAAACAGGTATTTTTTCTCCTTCACTGATTTGCGTTGATGAGGCGGCACTGATGGGCAGCACTAAAGGGCACTGATAGGCAGTACTAATGAGGCGGCACTGATAGGCGGCACTGATAGGCGGCACTGATAGGCGGCACTGATGATTGGTACTGATAGGCGGCACTGACTGGCATCACTTCTGGGCACTGACTGGCGGCACTGACTGGCACAACCCCTGGGCACTGACTGGTGGCACTGACTGGCAGCACTGCTGGGCTGCACTGGTGGGTGGCACTGGTGGGCAGCACTGGTGGGCGGGCACAGGTGGGTGGGCACAGGTGGGTGGCACTGCTGGGCACATGTAGGTGGCACTTCTGGGCACAGGTAGGTGGCACTGCAGAGTGGCACAGGTGGGGGCACTGCTGGGAACGGGTGGGGGCACTGCTGGGAACGGGTGGGGGCACTGCTGGGAACGGGTGGGGGCACTGCTGGGAACGGGTGGGGGCACTGCTGGGAACGGGTGGGCGGGGCTAGTGGGCGCACTGCTGGGCGGAACTTGCGGGTGTCACTGCTGGGCACCGATCATCAGGGCACTGATCATCAGTGCCCTGATGATCAGTGCCGATCCCCGCTCTGACAACTGCCGGTTCTCGGCAGTACTTTCCTCACGATCTGACAGCGTGAGGAAAGTGCAGCCGAGAACCGGCACTTGCATTTCCCTGTGATCAGCGTGTCATTGGACACCGCTGATCACGTGGTAAAAGGCTGGTGGGATCGGCCTTTCACCACATCACGTGATCAGCTGTGTCCGTAGGACACAGCGATCACGGAGATCGCCGGGTGCGCGCCCCAGAGCGCGTTCTGGGAGGACGTCATATGACGTCCACTCAGAACTGGCCGGCCGCGGTGAAGCCGTCATTCGGCTATGCGTGGTTGGCAAGAAGTTAAGAAAAAATAAAAAACCCAAAGGTGATTAAATACCACCAAAAGAAAGCTCTGTCACAAAAAAATGATAAAAATTTCATATGGGTACAATGTTGTATGACCGCACAATTTTCATTCCAAGTGCAACAGCACTGAAAGCTGGAAATTGGCCTGGGCAGGAAGGGGGTATAAGTGCCTTGTAGGCTAGTGGTTAAAAAAGGTTTAAAGTGCCCCCGTCGCCCTGTGCTCGCACGCAGTGGTGAAAGCATACGTAGGCCATGCCCACATATGTAAATGGTGTTTAAAGCACACACGTGAGGCATCACCACGAACGTCAGAGCAGGAGTTCTTGCACTAGACCTCCTCTGTAACTTTACACTGCTAACTTGTAGAAATTTTTAAGACATCACCCATGGAGATTTTTAAGTATCGCAGTTTCACGCCATTCCACGAGCGTGCACAATTTTAAAGTGTGCTATGTTGGGTATCTATTTACTCACTGTAAAATCCTCTTTCATATTTTACTAAAAATTGGGATATATATATATATATATTTATATTATTTTTTTTTTAAACAGTGTATTTTTTTCCAAAAATTATATTCATTTTTAAAAAACTGCGCATTTCGGTGTCGGTTTTCGGCCAAGTGCATTTTGAATTTTCGGTTTCGGCACCAGAATTTTCATTTCGGTGCACCACTACTTTAAAGTTTAATGTAATTGTTCTTAACCAGGCAGTAAATGAGCCAATTGAAGGCTGTTCACAACATTGAAACATGCTCAACAGATCCCATAGTTTAACCTCTTGCTGAATGGCATTATTGGCCCATCTTGGTGAAGGAATAAATTAACTCCTATGCGTATGTGTAGGAGTTATGTCGTTCTGGCACCTGCTAATCAAGATGGCTGAAGATGCCAAACCCAAGGGAAGACCAGGTGAAGAGGTTTGTGCAGGGGAGCTTGCGGATATCACCTAACTGGAGGGACAGCAAGTACTGGCGATTTTATTTCGGATTTAAAATTGTTTCTCTGAAATGCAGCACAATTTCTCTCTCTTTCATAAAAGCCGCCATTACACAAAAATTCCACACATGGTTGACAGACTCTCCAAAATGATGTCTTCAGGTTATTCTACAGCAACCAGCTCTGTCCAACACAGAGCACTTCTGTTGTCTGACCTCTCCAAAAACTGAGGCATCTCAAGAAGGTAGAATTCCTGCCTAACACCATAACTAGCCTAAAAAGTCACCTCCCCCCTCTTGGTACAGAAGAAAAGAAAAGAAAAAAGAAAAGAGAGAAAGAAAGAAAGAAAAAAAAAAAGGAAAAAGAAACAAAAAAAAAAGGAAAAACAAAAAAAAAAAGTGTGTACTTAGCTATTTTTAGCATGTTCTGATGTGGTCACGTGAACCTGTGTCAGTTAGTGGCGACTGCAGGGGAGAGGATAGAGCGCTCAACAGCTGAAAATTCCAAGCATGGTGACGTCACCCATAGGCTCCTATGTCCCAGCTGTTGTCTATGGTCCTGCCTCTCCCCTGCAGCTACCATTGACCAAACCAGAGCAGGATGAAGTGTAGATTATTTTTTTTTTTTTAAACACACAAGTTAGTCAGCATAGGTACCAGGAGGGGGAGGTGACAAACATATTTTGATAATGTAGAATTTGAAAACCAGTAAATGCCTGAAGTACATTTTCCCCATACTTTGCATGGCCTATTGAAGAATCATGATCACTTGATGGCAGAGGTTAGAAGCTTAAGCTGGAAAGGGACATTTTCAATTAATACAGTAAAGTGTACATTGTAGATAGTAATAACTTTTTTAAGGCCTGAGGTGTGCACTTCCACAATCTCACAAGGTGCCACATACAGATGTATGTACAGCATACTCTTCTACACATAAAGCAGATGTACTAACCATGTGTTTTAGAAATATGCATACTTTTAAAATATTATAGGCTCACCCAAAGCTTCTGTTTGCAGATCTATATTTACAGTGCCTGCTAGAGCATAGGCAATAACCAAAGGTGGAGAAGCCAGGTAATTGGCACGAATGCAACTGCATCGGCTGCCTTCAAAGTTTTTGCTTCCAGAGAAAATGCCACAGGCTACCAATTCCCCCTGGAAGTTAAAATTAAAAAAGTTTGAGAATATCTAACATTCATGCAATTCAAATTTAGCTTTATAAAATTTACAAACACATAATCAACATACCTCTTTAATAGCAGTGACAATTTCCTCCGGTAGCGGACTGGAGCTGCCCACACATCTTGAACATCCATAACCAGTAATGTCAAACCTGGTTCAGAGGTTATATATATATGTATAAGTAGGTGTAATATCAGCTATTAATTCAGACTATATATCTTACAATCCTGCTTTGTTCCTCAAGTGGATATTAGGATCTACGTTATGTATAATTGCGCTTGTCTCTGCAGATGTGATTGCCAATGTTGGCTGGTCTGATGCAGGTACCGCCAAATGAAATTACAAGGCTTAAAGTATAATTTTAGCCAAAATGTTTTCTTTTAGACCAAAGAAGGATCATAACCTCTCATGTTTATACTACTGTGTGTGCCCCATGTGGGGAGACAATATCATTGGGATAGAAAGGGTAATAATACACACACGCTTTTTTTTTTTTCCAGGATGGAATTTCTCGAACATACAGAAAAACAGGTGCCAAGAGCAGCCAAGCATTTATCTGCAACTAAAACATTCACCAACCAAGTAAGAGACAGCTTTTTTGAAGCTGTGTGTGCCTTGTCTTTTTCCAAGTCTGAAGTTAAGTAAAAGAAATAACTTACCCTAATTGGTTTAAGAAATGCAGCACACCACTAGCAGTGAGGTAATGAGTGACGGTACCACTTCCAGGAGACATGCTTGTGTTTATATAGGGCTTCACCTTGAGTCCCGCTTCTACAGCTTTCTTCGCTAAAAGCCCTATCAGAAATCAGACTACATGTTAACCTGCTGTACCTTACCACTACTATTTCAATAGCCAGCAACCAAGTAAGTACGCAGTGTTCATTACACAAGGTAAATAAGAAATTAAGAGGCATATTCAATATGTGGTTCAGGGTATACCTACACCAATTTATCCAAAGGATTTGGGGATATTACTGTGTATATATACACAATTTATTACATATTTCATCTTCCATGGATGAACAGGAATTTTTGTGCTTGCCATAAAATCTGTTTCATCGTGAGCTCAGTGGCACACAGAAGACCTATGGGGTACTAGAGTTGCACAAACAGGGTCACAAATAGAATGAGCCTTCCAAAAGTGAACAGAGATGTCAAGATACATACAAGATTGTGGATAAACACCACCAAGTTGAAAGTCACCCCATAATGGTGAGTAGGCGATACACAATGAATGTAAAGCAATGTCCTCGCTGATATGGAACGAAGAAGCAATTTTCAAGAAAAAAAAAAAAAAAAATGATGACTAACAGCCTTAAAAATGTAGACCGACAAGGTAAAGCTGGGTACACACGATTCGACTATTGTCCGGTTCCTGTTGAACAGGCAGACATTCAGACCATGCATGCAGCTGTCCTTCCGACAGAAGCCGGTCTAAGGACCAGGTTTTGTTGAAGGGACAATCAAGAAGACCAGAATTTGATCAGCGCTTGCAGCCAATGTCCCCCTGTCAGAACATAATGTCAAAGTGGGAACGATCGCTGTAATAACATCGCTTGCTTAGTACCGTGATGGGTTTTTTTTTGCTATTTTGTTTTTTTTCAGTCAGCCTGCTGGGTTAAACAGAGAAATAAAAAAAAAAAAAGAAAAAAAAAAAAAAAAAAAAAAAAAAGAAAGTGTGCATCAGGCTTTAGACCGTTAATTTACACTCCCCACAAGGCTGAAGCAATTGTCACCAAAAATATGACCCTTAAAGCAGAACTAAACTCTCTCAATAAACATTAACTATTTTTAATTCAATGCTACTAACATTAGTAAATATATAGGAAGGTATATTATATTTACTTGTTTTAAAGTGTTACTAAACCCATGACCCTGCATTCACTAAATCTGGTCTCCCACAGTACACGGAAATGCAATGATTTTAGCAAATCTCTGCTAAATACCTTTTCTCCCCAGCAGTATATACAGCGGATATAACAAGTCTACACACCCGTTATAATGTCAGGTTTCTGTGATGGGAAAAAAAACACAAAAAAAAACACCACAAATATAAATCATTTCAGAACTTTTTCCACCTTTAATGTGACCTATAAAACTGTACAACACAATTGAAAAACAAACTGAAATATTTTAGGGGGGAGGAAGTAAATGAAAAAAACTAATATAATGTGGTTGCATAAGTGTGTACACCCTCTTATAACTGGGATGTAGCTGTGTTCAGAATTAAGCAATCACATTCAAAATTATGTTTAAAATAGGAGTCAGTACACTCCTGTCATTTAAGTGCCTCAGATAAAGTTCAGCTGTTCTAGTAGGTCTTTCCTGACATTTTCTTAGTCGCATCCTACAGCAAAAGCAATAGTCCACAGAGAGCTTCTGAAGCATCAGAGGGATCTCATTGTTAAAAGGTATCAGTCAGGAGAAGGGTACAATAGAATTTCCATGGCATTAGATATACCACGGAACACAGTGAAGAGTCATCAAGGGGAGAAAATATGGCGCAACAGTGACATTACCAAGAACTGGACGTCCCTCCAAAATGGATGAAAAGACGAGAAGAAAACATGTCTGGTAGGCTGCCAAGAGGCCTACAGAAACATTAAAGGAGCTGCAGGAATATCTGGCAAATACTATATCTTTCAGCATGACAACGACCCAAAGCATAATTCCAGATAAAACAAAGGAATGGCTTCACCAGAAGATGATTAAAGTTTTGGAATGGCCCAGCCAGAGCCCAGACCTGAATCCGACCGAAAATCTGTGTGGTGATCTGAAGAGGGCTGTGCACAGGAGATGTCCTTGCAACCTGACAGATTTGGAGTGTTTTTGCAAGGAAGAGTAGGCAAATATTTCCAAGTCAAGATGTGCCATGCTGATAGACTGAGTGCTGGAATAAAATCAAAAGGTGCTTCAACAAAGTATTAGTTTAAGGGTGTGCACACTTATGCAACCATAATATTTTAGTTTATTTTTACTTCCCTCCACCTAAAATATTTCAGTTTGTTGCTCAACTGAGTTGTACAGTTTATAGGTTACATTAAAAAGGTGGAAAAAGTTCTGAAATTATTTATTTGTCTCATTTTTGTTACATCACAGAAACCTGACATTTTAACAGGGTTGTGTAGACTTTTTATATCCACTATAGTAGTCTTCTGATTTCTATCAATGTCTGGCCAAGCACTACTTAGAGGAGAATGAAAACTCCTCCTACAAGCTTTGATTGTCCTATTACAAAAAAAAACCCTCTAGCAATACACACTAAACTGAGCATGTGCAGAGCGACTCCTAGAGCCCTGTACTATCAGGAGATGGATTGTGGACAGAAGGATCAGGAAAAACAGGATCGAAAAGGCTTTTTACACAATGCGGAGGATTAACCCCTTAAGTTCCACAGCGAGTATAACAAGCTTGCTTTACTGCATACACAGACTGATTTTACGGTTGTGGGTTTAGCAGCACTTTAACTTCTGTTTTTGTTTTTATTACATTTCTTCAGTTGCTTCCTGGTTTTTGGTGTAGGCCAAAATTATGCCATACAACCTATTAGTCTCCATGTTTTTTTATCCGATTTCATCTGGGAGGACAGGAGAAGGAGCTCTCTCAGCTAAGCACACCCTCCTGCCTGCATGCTCAAGCTAAAGGTAGATGGATTCTAGGGAGTATGAATGCCCTTACTCAAGATGGCCACAGCTGGAAATGCTGGGGGTGCTTTTCCAGACATGGATAGATAGGCGAGTTTTCTTTGAATATTAAATGACATAGAATTTTTAGTTTGTGGTGCTCAGATACAGTTAAGTTCTGGTTTAAAGTAGGTCTTAAGCTGATAATTTATGATGTAGTTTTGGATGGAATTAGTTCTCCACAGGACAGAGAGGGAAAATAAAAAAACAAACAAAAAACACACACATAAAAGGAGATGCAGCCTTTCCCTTCTTCATCCAAAACTAAAGAAAGTTTTGGCTACACTTTATGGTAAACAAAAAGGGAGAAGGGTAGAACCAAATAATCCCTAGCTGCAATTCTTCAATAACAGAAATAAAATTGGCCCTTTACACCACTTCAGCCAATATAGGGAAACGCACCTATAGTGGCTAAAGTGGTCAAAAAGACCGATTTTGTGGAAGTTATCTTAAGCCCTTTTGTCGCCCCAGGAGAAAGGGGTATGTGGATCGTACCTATAATGTTTATGGGTCCTCATTTGAAGGTGAGGGCATATTTTGCACAAGGTGGAGCAATTTGAGTTAAGATTTGCTGTGCAGCACTGGAGTTGTGGTGTCACAAGTTTGATACACTTAGAGGACTTTTTTTTTTTTTTTAAGTCACAAATGCACATTATATTTGAATTGCTCTGATTTACATACACTATAATATTGTACCAATTTGGTTTATTATTTACACATTTTGCTTGTCCTTGTTTCTCACATATATGGTTTGTGGTGTATTGGTAAAATACAGTATATCTTAGCAGCGTGTCACCATGTTATAATTACTAAAAAAGAGAGAAGCGGTTGAGGGGTGGACCCTTTAAAGACAAAGGACTTTAAGGTCTAAGGGCTAGTTCATGCCAGATGCAGTTCAGTGTGTTTTTTTTTCTGCATCAAAAATGCATGCACAGTGCTTTCCATGTATTCCAATGGCCCTAGTTCACACTAGTGCAGTCAGTTCCAGTCAGTTTATGGTGCAGAAAAATAAAAGAACATTCTGAATTTTTTTCTGCACAGAACTGTACTGGAATACAGCAAACTGCATCAAAACTGGACCAGAGTGGAGTGTGGTGTGAACTGTAAGCAAAAATGTATCCGGAATGCATCAGGGTGCATTTTTGTGGTGTGAACTGGCCCTAAAAGGTGATGTTTTAGCCTTGCAGGAGGAACAAGTGGTGCACCTTATGCATAGGGATTTGGTCAGGGCACACTAGAAAAGCACAGGTGAAGCAGAAACTTGACAGTTAATGAAACGAGAAAGCCAAAAAAAAAGGAGTAAAATTGGCCAAGACACCTCCCCTGGGATGAAGCTGTAATTGACTACCTGAAATAGGAGTACCATTTACAATGGTAGACTATCCTGCATAAAGGTGTACAGCAGGGTTTCGCAACCAGGGTTCTATGGAGCACTATGGTTCCTTGAGCAACGAGCAATTTCTGCCTGTCAGATAAGTTACCACTGATCTTTTCAGCTATCTGCAAGGGGGTTATTCTCCCCAATGACCACAAGTGTAAGAAGAATTCTACCCACTGACCATCACACTAATTTTTCATGGGTTGTAGATAATTTTTGGCAGGGGTTCCGTAAGACCGGAAAGTTATTTCAAGTGTTCCGGTTTTGAAAAGGTTGAGAAAGGTTGGTCTACAGCCTCTATAGCCCCAAAGCATAATGTAAAAAATTGTGTTAAAAGTGTCCTCACTTCTTCAAAACTAGGACGTTACCAGTTATGCCATTAAATTTAAAGAATGATGGAAGTGATGCAGCGGTCCTTGAGTGTAGCTCAAGACAGTACAGGAAAGGCCAAGGGAAGCCTGCAAAATTTAAAGTACTAGGAAAGCCAAAGCCATTGCAGGTCCACTAGGATCCTATTTTGTCCATATCCAGGATATCCAAGCAGCTGTATTCATGGTGGAAAACATCTGGGAGAAAAGTCCATTATACTCATATCAAAAGGTTTAAAGTGTAAGGTCCAAAGAAGTCTGATAGATAGCAGCAGTGAGGCCTTAGTGCAGTACTAGCAGAGGTATTCCAACCTTGAATCTGTGAGTTAATATAGCCAGCAGGAATAACCCCTATAGCTAACCCAGGAGGGTTGCTTAGCATTTACTTCTACTGGGGAACATTCTTTAGTAGATGATCTTGATTTTTTTTTTTTTTTTTTTTAAGCAGCAGGCAGGGTCATGAAGCCACTTAGGTTACTCAGCTATACATGGGGCTTCAGCTATATCAAGGGGGGAGCCGATTATAGAAGGAGGAACTTTCTACACTACACACTTTTTCTTTCTCTCCATTCTAAATGTGGTCAAAATGTTTCACACGAAACCTATCCATATTTTAAATCTACATTTAACCCTATAGAAAAAATACAATTTTACAAAATAACAAAAAAAAAAAATAATCTGAATTATCTGGAGTATTACAGCAAAAGCATTTCTATTATTCCCCAATAAACACCAACAGTATACAGATTGAGCATTTCATAAATTTTAGCAATTGGGAACTGATGAATAATTACAGTATTTTGATCTTTCTTGTATGCATTACCTGCAGTTAGCATGACAGAAGGATTGCAGTTGTTGGTGCAGCTAATCACAGCAGCAATAAGGACACAGCCATGTGACAACAAGTATTCAGAGCTTCCATAGGTAACTGGGATCACTACTTTCTGCTTTTCAGGTGGAATTTGGAATGCTTTAAAGCCCACCTAGAAAAAGAAAAAAATGTGTTACCACCAACAAAGATTATCAAGGTATTGCCAAATGAATTTTTAGGTAGTAAATATAGTTGTTCCCATGCAAACCTGCCAACATACAAAACCTACCCAAACATAGTTTATCCACAGTTCAGCTTGTAGGCCATCTATTAACATTAAAATTACTGAACACTGACAATGCTTAGTAACCACTTGCCATTCGCCCTATAGCAGAAGTACAGCTACAAGGCAAAATGGATGCGCAAAATCACATGCATATACGTGATTTGCATTTCCGGTAAGGGGGCACGCACGCCGGCCTGCCCACGCAGCTATTGGCGACTGGGATGTCAATTATTGGGTCCTAACTGGCACAGCTGACAGGGGAGAGACCTGTATGCAAATACGTCTCTTTCCTGTCAGCATGGACATGCTGCTTTGTATCTCTCTGCACAGCAGAAAGATACAAAGCAGCATGTCTCCCAAGTAAAACAGCACACAATGTAAAACACACACAGCACACAGTTAATCCTTTGATCGCCCCAGATGTTAACCCCTTCTTGCCCAGTGTCATTAGTACAGTGTCAGTGATTTTTATTAGAACTGATCACTTTATTAGCGTCACTGGAGATGTCAGTGGCAGTTGGTCAGTTCCCATTCAGTGTCAGAATGCCTGATGCAGTCCCATTATAAGTCGCTGATCGCTGCCATTGCTGGTATAAAACCAAATAAAAGTTCCACTATATATATACACACCCCCCGTATGTGTAGGCACTATAACTTTCATGTAAACCAATTAACATACAATTATTGGGATTTTTCTTTCAGCAAAGGCATGTAGCAGAATACATTTTACCCTAAGTTTGTGGAGAAATTTAATTTTAACATTTTTTTTATTGGATATGTTATAATGGCCTGGTCAGGAGGGGGGGGGGGGGGGGGGGGGGGGTAAGTCCTCTGGAGGGCAAGTGGTTAAAATACCATTTTCCCTAGACAATATATTCATGCAGGTTTTTATATATGCATTGTGACAAAGCCAAAGTGTACAAGGCACCTACAGTTATGCCTGCATGTCACGTTTAATTCTCTGTGCAGCATGGTGGGTACCCAGACTAATGGTTATGCCGATTTACAGAGACCGCTTCCAGAATCACAGGCTCTGGCACACACCATCTAACACATTGCTATTGGTCCCCAGCAACGTGGAAGGTGGATTCTATAGCCAAGAATAATAGGAGGGAGCTGCCACAGCCATTGACTATTGAGGATGAATACTTTCTGCATAAAAGAGCGCGGTGTTCCAGGCTACCATAGTGCTCTACAGAGAATTTAAAAGGTCCACTTGTATGCCTCCCCCCCCCCCCCCTTCACTGCCATATTTGGCACCTTTTGGGAGGGAGCTGGTACCTGGTTTTTTGACAGGTACCCTCTCCCACTTCCGGCTCACTTTGCCGCGGCGAAGTGAGCCAGATGTTCGGCCCCCTCCTTCCTCCTGCAGTCTCCTGGGAACTTTCATAGGTTCTAGAAGACTGCCAGACCAATCAGGATGCGAAGCGCAACTTGCAAGCGGTCACAACCTGGTGCCCACAGTTCAGATGCTGGCGCCGTGAAGAGAAGGAGAGAAGGGACGGCACGAGTGAGCACATTGCTGGACCCTGGGACAGGCAAGTGTGTGTTTATTAAATGTCAGCAGCTACAGTTTTTGTAGCTGTTGACTTTTAATAAAACACGAAAACAGCTGGAACTCAGCTTTAAATAGATGTGCAAGGAAATCAAAAAGAATCTATGTGCTGGAGTAAAAATTTGTCAGTTTTACTCAAGTAGGGTAAGAGAAAGAAAAAAAAAATACACTGTAGCAATGACCAAATGAAGCTGCACATTTAAAGTATACATGTACCCTCGCCTTCATTAGAATGGGCATCAACTGCATTGGATCACACCAAAAGTAGTGCAAACACTACCTTTCAAAAACGCACTGTACCAGATCGCATGGTTCTGTGGAACCATGCAATCCAGCGCAGAGAAATGCACTGCATTTGTGATCTGCATTTCGAGTGTCATCAGGGACACACTGACACTTGCAGATCACACACCCAGTGCATCTTGAATGCACTGAGGGCAACGATTCAGTGATTTATTTGCCAAGTGTCCAACCTACTAAGAGCTTATACAACCAAAAGGGATCCTTCAATGAACGAGAAAAATTACACTAATATCTGTAGTCTCACGCACCTTTTCACTTAGGCATGCTTCAAAATCTTTTTTCATATCAACTATGGATACCCGGTCTTGAGGTCTCTTGGGGCTACTCACATACGGCACAATGGAATTCAAGTTAATTTCTATGATCTTGAGGGGAAAAGAAAAAAAAAATATATATATATATTATTAGTTCCTTAAAAACCTAAAAAAGTTTGCATCTGACACATTCCTAGAGCAGAAACAATTGAAGCATACCTATCACACAAAATACAAATATTGCATATTCACGACAGCCGATATTATTGTATTTGCTCCATGCACAACTTTCATAATAAAAGTATCTGCAGTAAAAGTCTATCCCATTTAACTGTGTAAGAAATGAAATTCCACTGCTGTATGTTATCATTCAAAAATGAGAGAGGAGTAAGCGGAGCATCCTTGAAAAAGTATTTATACCTCTTGAAATTTTCCACATTTTGTCATGTTACAACCAAAAACAAATGTATTTTATTGGGATTTTATGTGAAAGACCAACACAAACTGGCACATAATTCTGAAGTGGAAGGAAAATGATTTTCAAACTTTTTTTTACAAATAAATGTGAAAAGTATGGCATGCATTTGTATTCAGCCCCCCGGAGTCATTACTTTGTAGAACCCCCTTACCCTGCAATTACAGTCTTTTTGGGTATGTCTCTACCAGCCTTGCATATCTAGAGAGCGAAATGTTTTCCCATTCTTCTTTGCAAAATAGCTCAAGCTCTGTCAAACTGGATGGAAAGCATCAGTGAACAGCAATTTTCAAGTCTTGCTACAGATTCTCAATTGGATTTAGGTCTGGAATTTGACTGGGCCATTCTAACACATGAATATGCTTTGATCTAAACCAGGGGTCTCCAAACTATTTCTAAACAAAGGGCCAGTTTACTGGCTTTCAGATTTTAAGGGGGGGTCGGACTATGGCCATTGGGAGTAGAAATCGTCCTGTGTCACTGGGAGTAAACAATGCATCTTTGTCATTGGAGGGGGGGGGGGGGGGGAAATGGCACCCTATTCTTGGTGTCAGCGGGAGGAAATAGTGCCCCATCATTGCGTCAGCGGGAGGAATAGTGCCCCATCATTAGCGTCAGCGGGAGGAATAGTGCCCCATCATTAGCGTCAGCGGGAGGAATAGTGCCCCATCATTAGCGTCAGCGGGAGGAATAGTGCCCCATCATTAGTGTCAGCGGGAGGAATAGTGCCCCATCATTAGCGTCAGCGGGAGGAATAGTGCCCCATCATTAGCGTCAGCGGAAGGAATAGTGCCCCATCATTAGCGTCAGTGGGAACAGTGCCCCGTTGTTGTTGTCAGTGGAAGGAATAGTGCCCCATGGTTTGTTTCAGTGAGAGTAATAGTGACTGTTGATGTCAGTAGCAGGAATTACACCCCCTTGTTGGTGTCAGTGGGAGGAATAGTGTCTTGTATCAGTGGGAGAAAAAGTGCCACAAGGGCAAGCAGTGGGCCACATCTGGCTCCTGGGACATAGTTTGGAGACCACTGATCTAAACCATTCCATTGTAGCTCTGGCTGTATGTTTAGGGTTGATGTTCTGCTGGAAGGTGAACCTCTGCTCCAGTCTCAAGTCTTCTGCAGATGCTAACAGGTTTTCTTCTAAGATTGCCTGTATTTGGCTCCATCCATCTTTCCTTCAATTCTGACCAGATTCACTGTCCCTGCTGAAGAAAAGCATCCCCACAAAATGATTCTGCCACCACCATATTTCAGTGGGGATGGTGTGTTCAGGGTGATGTGCAGTGCTAGTTTTCCACCACAAATAGCGTTTTGCTTTTACGCCAAAAAGTTACATTTTGGTCTCATCTGGCAGAGCACCTTCTTCCACATGTCTGCTGTGTCCCCCACATGGCTTCTCGCAGACTGCAAACGGGAATTCTTACGGCATTCTTTCAACAATGGCTTTCTTCTTGCCACTCTTCCATAAAAGGCCATATTTGTGGAGTGCATGGCTAATAGTTGTCCTGTGGACAGATTCTCCCACCTGAACTGTGGATCTCTGCAGTTCCTCCAGAGTTACCATGGGTCTGTTGGCTGCTTCTCTGATTAATGCTCTCCTTGCCCGGCCTGTCAGTTTAGGTGGACGGCCATGTCTTAGTAGGTTTGTAGTTGTGCCATACTCTTTCCATTTTCGGATGATGACTTGAACAGTACTCTGTGAGATGTTCAAAGCTTGGGATATTTGTTTTTTTCTTTTTATAACCCTGCTTTAACCTTCTCCACAACTTTATCTCTGACTGGTCTGGTGTGTTCCTTGGCCTTCATGATGTTGTTTGTTCACTAATGTTCTAACTAACCTCTGAGGGCTTCACAGAACAGCTGTATTTATATAGAGATTATATTACACACAGATGGACACTTACTAATTAAGTGACTTCTGAAGGCAATTGGATCCATTAGATTTTAGTTAGGGGCATCAGAGTACACTGGGCTCAATACAAATACACGCCACGCTTTTCAGATATTTATAAAAAATTTTGAAAAACACTAATCATTTTCCTTCCACTTCACAACTATATGCCACTTTGTATTGATCTATCACATAAAATCCCAATAAAATACATTTACGAATTTGGTTGTAACATGACAAAATGTGGAAAATTTCAAGGGGTATGAATACTTTTTCAAGGCACTCTATATTGTTTGTTGCAACAATCTCAGTGGGGCAGGGTTCTTTAAGATGTAAATTCACTGTTCACACTACCACAAATATATCTTTGCCTAGCTGAGTATTAAACAAAACAAACAAAAAAAAGGGCTGCCACAGATCATGTTAGTTTTGTATTACCTTGGAATACTCAGGTCTTCCCACACACTTCTCATCTCTAAACAATTGGACTGCTCTCAAGTAGGCTTCACATGTTTTTAATTTTTGAGCATCAACACCTGTGTAGACAAAAATAATTGGGAATTTTTTTGGGCTGTACACTTTAAAGCTCAAATCCAGGTAAATAGCTAAACAATATACACGTGCCAAAGAACATGTAATGTGTAGACAACGTGCAGCATAGACAAGAGGTTGAAAACATTTTAACTGTTACAATTAAATTTTTTTTTACTCCCCATCTAGAGGCTTCTGATTGGACAATTCAGAAACAGAAATAATATAAATATATAAAGTGAGCACTACACTGTGTGCACAACTAAGCAAGTTGTATTTTTGAGGATAATTTCATTACTGAACAACTACAGTGCTCTCGGTCAATCCAAAATATTAAACCTCAAACCTGAATATTTAAGAAGGTAAAAAAGAGGTTTTGGCTTTCTTAGGAGAATACCTATGTATGCAAAATTATTGGGCAGCTATTAATGTGCACTATGGGTGGAACTGCACATAGGGGTGCATACTACAAAGGTAATCAATGGAGTTTGTTATAGGCCTCCCAGTGTTAATGAGGAGATGGAGACTCCTTGCACAGATCAAAAGGGGTGCAAGGGCAGGGACAGTGATAATAATGGGGGATTTTAACTACCCAAAAACTGACTGGAGTAATGGTACTGCAGGAACAGTTAAAGGGCAAAACTTTTTAGACCTACTACAGGACAATTTTATGGTACAGTTCATAGAGGCCCCAACTAGAAATGATGCTCTGCTGGACCTGGTAATCTCAAACCATGCAGAGCTTATTATGAATGTCCATATAAAAGTACATCTGGGTAGTAGTGACCATAACATGATTTCATTTATGGTTAGCTGTAAACATCAAGCACAAACGGGAAAAATAAAAAACGTTCAACTTTAAGAGAGCCAATTTTCCAAGGGTGAGAGCTCACTTAGACTGGGAGGGAATATTGGCATCGATGAACACAACACAGAAATGGGAGTTCTTTAAAAAGACTGTATGTGAACACACTGCAAAATATGTTCTCATGGACAAGTTTAAAAAGCTAAAAATCAAACCTATGTGGCTTACGGCCAAAGTTAAAAAAAAAAAAAAAAAGCTATTGATAATAAGAAAAGAGCTTTTATTAAATATAAAAATGAAGGAATGCTATCATCATTTAAACATTACAAAAAATATAACAGACTATGCAAAAAAGGAAATAAAGACCACAAAAATTGAAAACGATAGATTGCAAAAGATAGCAGGACAAACCCCCAAAAATTCTTCAAATATATTAATAGTAAAAAAAGGTCCGGTCCGAGCATGTAGGCCCTTTACAAAATCTAGAGTGGGTGACTGGGGACAAAGAGAAGGTAAATTAAATACCTTCTTCAGCTCTGTGTATACAAAAGGAGCATGGGGGAGATCTTGTCCATAATGGGCATGGTATTGACACAGCTCCAGATGATCCACATTGGCTCACAACTGATATGATCCAAAAATATTTAGACAGAATAAAGCACCTGGACCAGATGGCATACACCCACGGGTCCTTAAAGAATTTAGCTCTGTCATTTCAAAGCCATTGTTTCTAATTTTTAGGGACTCTTTAATGACTGGCATACCATCTTTGGATTGGCGTAAGGCCAATGAGGTGCCTATATTTAAAAAGGGGGGACAAAATCTTTACCAAGTAATTATAGATCTGATTAACTTCTATAGTTGGGAAAATACTGGAGAGTTTAATTAAAGACCACATAGATGAGTTCTTGCTGCTGAAAAAAATATTTTAAGCAACAGCATTGATTCATGAAAGACAGAAGTTGTCAAACAAATCTGATTTCTTTTTATGAGGTGAGCAAAACCTTGGACAGAGGAGTGACGGTGGATGTGCTATACTTGGATTTTGCAAAAGCGTTTGACTTAGTTCCTCACACACGGCTAATGTGCAAGATAAAATCTACAGGCTTGGAAAAATCTGTATGTAAATGGATAGAAAACTGGCTAAAAGATTGTATTCAAAGAGTAGTGGTTAATGATTAATACTCTGAATGGTCTAGGGTTGTCAGTGGTGTACCCCAAGGTTCAGTGTTGGGACCCTTACTTTTTGATATATTTATAAACGATATAGGGTCTGGGATTAAAAATCCCATTTCAGTCTTTGCAGATGACACCAAGCTGTGCAGTGGAATATCGTCCTTACAGGATGTCTCCAACTTACAAGCCGACCTCAATGCACTGTTTAATTGGGCAACTATGTGGCAAATGAGGTTTAATGTTGATAAATGTAAGGTTATGCACTTGGGGCACTTGGGCTAAGAATATGCATGCATCATACATACTAGGGGCATCATTGGTGGAGAAGGATCTGGGAGTTCTGGTAGATCACAAGCTTAATAATGGCATGCAATGCCAAGCTGCAGTTTCTAAAGCGAGCAAAATCCTCTCTTGTATTAAAAGAGGTATAGACTCCAGAGAGAGATATCAGATTTCCCCTGTACAAATCATTGGTAATACCTAATCTAGAATATGCAGTTCAGTTTTGGGCACCAATTCACAAAAAGAACATTAGGGAACTTGAGAGGGTACAGAGAAGGGCAACCAAACTGATAAGAGGCATGGAGGAGCTCAGCTAGGAGGAGAGATTAGAGGAACTGAATTTATTCTCTCTTGAGAAGAGGAGATTAAGGGGGGATATGATCAACATGTATAAATACATCAGTGGTTCATATAGTGAACTCGGTGTACAGCCATCCTGAGGCCATCACAGAGGACAAGGGGGCACTCTTTACGTCTGGAGGAAAAGAAAATTTAATCTCCAAAACAAGGAAAGGTTTCTTCACAGTGAGAGCTGTGAAAATGTGGAATAGACTCCCTCAAGAGTTGGTTCTGGCCAGCTCAGTGGATTGCTAAAAAAAAAAAAAAAAAAAAAGGCCTGGATTCTCTCTTAGATACACAGAATATAATTGGATAACATTTCTAGGTAAAGTTGATCCACGGTATATCTGATTGCCTCTCGGGGGATCAGGAAGGAATTTTTTTCCCTGCAGGAGCAAATTGGATCATGCTTTGCTGGTTTTTTTGCCTTCCTCTGGATCAACTGTGGGTATAGGATTATAACTTTTTTTTTTTTTTTTTTTTTCTTCAATGGTTAAACTGGATGGACTTTTGTCTTTTTTTAGCCAGACTAACTATGTAACTATATGTAAAAATGCTAGCGTATAGCAATTTCACTGCGATATGCAATCATGGTGTGTAAAAAAAAATACTGATCACAATACTGGTAACATTACATTACTCTGGTCAGTGTGGCGATTTTCTTTTGTTTTTTTTTTTTTTTAAAAACAGTAAAAAAACATTTTTTTTCCCTGTATGGTCACCAGTCAGTGTCCAAGATCACCACCACACCAGTTATTGGATGATGCTGTACTGCACTGGGGCCGGATTTTTAATAAATGCTGAAATTTCATTTTAAAAAAAAAAAAAGACAAAATTACTAAAAAAAAAAAAAAAAAAAAAAAAAAAACCCCAAAACCTTGCCATGCTTCTTACTAAATACTTCAGACCTGCCTACTTTCCAAAAAGGGGTAATTTGGGGGATATCTGTACTGTCCTGACATTTTTGAGCCTCATGAAATGATAGGTCATCAGGATTAATCAATTTTCAGATATATACCATAGTGTGTGGACTATAACTTTCCTACAGACTAAATATACACCGATTTGGGTTACTTTCACCAAAGAAATGTAGCAGTATACATTTTGGCCTAAATTTATGAAGAACATTTATTTGCAAAATTTTATAACAGAAACAAAAAAAAACTTGTTTATCTTTTCAAAATTTGTCATTTTTTCAATTTAGCAAAAAATAAAAAAAACCCAGTGGTGATTAAATACCACCAAAAGAAAGCTCTAGTTGTGTGAACAAAATGATAAAAATTTTGTTTGAATGACAATTTTGCAGTCATGCAACACTGTACCCAAAGTGTGACAGCGCTGAAAGCTGAAAATTGGCCTGGGCAGGAGGGGGGTAAAAAGTGCCCGGTATTGAAGTGGTTAAATCTGAGGTGCTTTTAGGAATGTCTAGGACTTTTAAAAACAAAAAGGGCTTTATGACAACTTAAAACGTTTAATATTGTTAACATTGAACTGTTCATCTTCTACTCATCTTCCTGTCTGTCTCCATCACTGCACCAGGGAACTAGCAGGGAGGGGAGAGACCGTGCAGTAATGAGCACCAATTGGGTGCTAGTCAGGAAAGGGGAGTTACGGCTCTTTTAATGCTCAGCAAAAGCGTATCTGCTGAGCGAGTAAAGTTGGTGCCGGCCCCAATGAGGGGAAAAACACAAACAAACAAAAAACTCACCTTTAGTCCTTCAGGTTGTCGTTGCACATGGAAGCACTTGGGTGCTCAGTATTGGCGCCTGTTGAGCAGCAAAATCAAGCTCTGGTGTCCGCTCCATTAGGCCCCGTTCACTCCTGAGTATTTTGGGATTGCAGCACAATGGGTGCGATTCTGCCTCCAATCTCAAAATGCAGGTTAAGGTGTCATTTTCAGTGGCACCCAAAAACACAGTGCAGTTTTGCTGTGATCGTCTTGTCAGCCAAAAATGAGCAGGAGCCACCAAGTTTTAGGTGCCATTGAAAACAATGGCACCTGAACCTGCATTTTGTGATCACAGATAGAATCGAAGTGATTCTGCAGGTATCCCAAAACACCCAGGTGTGAATGGAGCCATACCCTAGTTCACACTTTTCAAAATGCACAGATTTGCATGACAGGCTAGATATTATGTGTTCCTATCAAGGTGGTTCACACAGATGTGATCCACACACATTGGGTTTTGAATGCCATTACGAAAAGGATCCTGTGCAAGTTTGTAGCGGTGTATTCTAGACTTGCAAGTGATAGAGTACATTGGCATGCGGAGGTAAGTGTTTACATAGGATTGCTATTGACAGGAGTATTTGCATTGAAGTTAATAAAGGGCGTTTTCGCATTGAAATCAATAAGAGGCGTTTTTGCATTAAAGGCTGTAGTCACACATAGGCGTTTTAAATCGGGGGCAGAATTGCCCTGATTCTGTCTGTGATTTCAAAATCGCTCGGTTGTGAAATCACACATCACCGTGTTCAGGTGCTATTCATTTCAAATGGCACATGAAAAATGTGGGGTGATTCTACTGCAATTGTCAGGCAATTTTTTCACGAGGCGTGCTGCCCAAAAGATGTTGTGGAACTTCTTTTGAGTGACACACATCGCGTGATTTTGTTTGTGCAATTGCAGCACAAAGTTAAAAAAAAAAAAAAAAAAACCAAAAAAAACAACAGTCTTGGCAGAAGAGCCCCGCAATTTTCAGGTGCCACTGAAATAAATGGCACCTGAACACACTGATGAGCAATTGCACATTTTAATAAATTCATTTTGAATTCGCAGGCAGAATCTCAGAGATTCTGCCCACGATTCAAAATGCCTATATGTGAACGATGCCTGAAGTGAATGGGAGGCGTTTTTTTTTTGCACTGAAGTCAATGAGAGCAGGGTACCGAAATCACATAGAAACCAGAATGACATTGCAATTTCAGTACACATATCTGTGAACCCAGGCTAAAGAGGCTGCCCAACACCTGAAACTGTATATCCCAGGCGTCGAACAATATAAAAACTTGCATCCCTGTATTCAGTTCATTTTTATATCTGCCAGAAGCTCGGCTTGAAAGAGTAACTCTACTTTTTTCAGATTCTGAATGGAAATAACATTCCTTTTAATCAGCTGGTACACTCAGTGTTCTGATGAGAAAATTTGCAATATCTGCATCTCTTTAGAAGGGATTAAGCCTTAGGGATTACCTCACCAAAAGAAGAAGAGAGAAGGACAACGCCGCGGAAGTGGGAGCGGGTACCTGTCAAATTCAGGTACCCGCTCCCCCTCCCTCCCCAAAGGTCAGCAGTCTCTGGTCATCCCCTTTACTGTCTGCAGTCTCTGGTCATCTGTACTGTGTCCCTGGTATTTTCCCTGTACTATGTCCGCAGTCTCTGGTCATCTCCTGTACTGCGTCCGCAGTCTCTGGTCATCCCCTGTACTGCGTCCGCAGTCTCTGGTCATCCCCTGTACTGCGTCCGCAGTCTCTGGTCATCCCCTGTACTGCGTCCGCAGTCTCTGGTCATCCCCTGTACTGCGTCCGCAGTCTCTGGTCATCCCCTGTACTGCGTCCGCAGTCTCTGGTCATCCCCTGTACTGCGTCCGCAGTCTCTGGTCATCCCCTGTACTCCGCGTCCCCTGTACTGCAGTCTCTGGTCATCCCCTGTACTGCGTCCGCAGTCTCTGGTCATCCCCTGTACTGCGTCCGCAGTCTCTGGTCATCCCCTGTACTGCGTCCGCAGTCTCTGGTCATCCCCTGTACTGCGTCCGCAGTCTCTGGTCATCCCCTGTACTGCGTCCGCAGTCTCTGGTCATCCCCTGTACTGCGTCCGCAGTCTCTGGTCATCCCCTGTACTGCGTCCGCAGTCTCTGGTCATCCCCTGTACTGCGTCCGCAGTCTCTGGTCATCCCCTGTACTGCGTCCGCAGTCTCTGGTCATCCCCTGTACTGCGTCCGCAGTCTCTGGTCATCCCCTGTACTGCGTCCGCAGTCTCTGGTCATCCCCTGTGTACTGCGTCCGCAGTCTCTGGTCATCCCCTGTACTGCGTCCGCAGTCTCTGGTCATCCCCTGTACTGCGTCCGCAGTCTCTGGTCATCCCCTGTACTGCGTCCGCAGTCTCTGGTCATCCCCTGTACTGCGTCCGCAGTCTCTGGTCATCCCCTGTACTGCGTCCGCAGTCTCTGGTCATCCCCTGTACTGCGTCCGCAGTCTCGCATCCCCTGTACTGCGTCCGCAGTCTCTGGTCATCCCCTGTACTGCGTCCGCAGTCTCTGGTCATCCCCTGTACTGCGTCCGCAGTCTCTGGTCATCTCCTGTACTGCGTCCGCAGTCTCTGGTGTACCCGCAGTCTCTGGTCTCCTGTACTGTGTCCGCAGTCTCTGGCCATCTCCTGTACTGTGTCCGCAGTCTCTGGCCATCTCCTGTACTGTGTCCGCAGTCTCTGGTCATCTCCTGTAGTATGTCCGCAGTCTCTGGCCATCTCCTGTACTATGTGTCCGCAGTCTCTGGTCATATCCTGTACTGTGTCCGCAGTCTCTGGTCATCTCCTGTACCGTGTCCGCAGTCTCTGGCCATCTCCTGTACTGTGTCCGCAGTCTCTGGTCATCTCCTGTACCGTGTCCGCAGTCTCTGGTCCGCATCTCCTGTACTGTGTCCACAGTCTCTGGTCATCTCCTGTACTGTGTCCACAGTCTCTGGTCATCTCCTGTACTGTGTCCACAGTCTCTGGTCATCTCCTGTACTGTGTCCACAGTCTCTGGTCATCTCCTGTACTGTGTCCACAGTCTCTGGTCATCTCCTGTACTGTGTCCACAGTCTCTGGTCATCTCCTGTACTGTGTCCACAGTCTCTGGTCATCTCCTGTACTGTGTCTGCAGTCCATTGGTTCAGAATTTTTTTTTTCCTGTTTTTCGCCTCTAAAACCTAGGTGCGTCTTATGGTCAGGTGCGTCTTATGGAGCGAAAAATACGGTACATTTTATGCTAAAACAACTGTCTAGCAGATGCAGATTTCTTACCGGTCTGCTGTAGATGACTAAGGGTCACTTGGTCCACTGGAAAAAAAGGCCACTGTGGCCCCATACTCTGGACTCATGTTGGCGATTGTGGTGCGGTCAGCTACCGAAAGAATAGAGACACCATCTCCAAAGAATTCTACAAATCTCCCAGATATCTCTGCTTTTCGTAGATGCTGTATGGAAAGATAAGATGGATGATCATAAAAAGCAGACATAAAACGGGTCTAATCCTACCTAGGGAGAGCCACGTACAAGGACATCCTAATTTTATTAGAACCTGCATGTGACCTCATTACAAATAATTTTGTTCACTTTCTGTACCTGTGATGCCCATACAGTACATTGAGGAGTGTGGTTGTCACCAGAACAGCAATAAAATTATTGCTAGAAATTACAACTATTCCTCACTCTGGGTCTTTTAGTCTATGTTCCAATTCCTGCTAGGTAGTGAAAGGAAAATTCCCCAGTACAGAACTGACAGATGGTTTAACCTAACCCATGTAATAAAAACATTTCAGCTGGAATTGGACTTTAAAGTGGTTGTAAATGCTCAAGGTTTTTTACCTTCATGCATGAAGCCTTAGCTCCCCCAATACTTACTGAGCCCTATCACGATACAGCGATGAGCACAAGAGCCTCGAGGACTCTCCCCCTCCTCATTGTTTGTCAATCACAGCCAGTGAACTAATGAGGACAAAGGCGGAAGGGCCATGCTGTGACCGTGTGTGAATGGACATGCAGAGCAGCAGCTCGGGATGGAGCCTGCTTGGGTGCCCCCATAGCAAGACACTACTTCTGAGTGCACTCACCAGGGAAGAGGGGCCAGGAGCACCAGTGCAGGACCTGAGGAGGATTGGGGTTGCTCTGTGCAAAACCACTGCACAGAGCAGGTAAGTACAACCTATTTGTTTGTTTTTTTATTATTGCCTTTAATATCACTTTAACCGTTAATGACATTGTGAAATATCTTGTGATGCGATTCAGGATAAAGGTATTAAATCAGTAGTTGCAAGAAGTTATTCTGCTTGCTAAAAAAGGAAACAGAGTACACACAGTATTCAACATCTCTCACCTTGGTGATGCTTAGAACAACATCTATAGAAGTAGCAAATGGACTGATTGAGCCAGTCAGCTCACATCCAACAACTTCAGGCAAGGTTAATGTAACGGGTATCCCCAACATAGCAGCTTCAGACTCTATTCCACCCATGCCTGAAAGATAAATATGTTAAAGTGCATCTATAGCCATAACGTTGAATATATTTAGTTTATTTTTAACTGAGGAAAGTGTGGAAAAGGATTAGAATTTCTGTCAGGTTTCACTGCTGTCCATGGCCCTGCTAGAGAAATTTACCCTCCCTTTCCTGTCAAGGGGAACAACGTTTTTACCAAACAGGAAGTGAAGGAATCTCTCCAACAGTAACACAGACAAAACTAAACATTCTTTTAGTAAATTAAATAGGGGACTGCTGGGGACCAGTCAGTGTTCTCCAGTTGCAGATTTTTCCCTCACTTCCTGTCTGGTAAAACGCAGTCCCCAAAACAAGAAGTGAGAGAAATCTCTCTAAATTAATCCCTGAATAGCAGTAAACCCTGGTGAGGGGTTCTCAACTTTTCCCATTCTATCCAAAACAAAAATAAAAAACAAACAGTAAGGTTTTGGGCATAGAAACACTTTAAATATATTGGTGTACTGAAAAGCAACCAAATGCAAAATTTAAATGCAAACCTCTATAGAACGTGTAAATGACATTTATGAAGTGCCTGACTGACAACCAGCCTGTTCCATTCTCTCTCAGTCAGTGTCTCTTACACATTTAAGCTTGGCCTAGTAACTTTACACAAATGCTAATGTGCTTAAAGCGGAACTTCACTCTCAATCAACATTTTAGTGCAAATTTTAACTTATTTTTTCACATTTCTTTAGTCATTTCCTGGTTTCCGGGCCTAGGCAAAATGATATCACACATCCAAGGAGGTATTTTCTCAGCTAAGCACACCCTTCTGCCTGCACAAAAGGACAGATGCATTCGATGAAATCCTACATTAATCATCTACCCTTACTAAAGATGGCCATTAGGAAAGGTTTTTCAATTGATTTGTCAGAAAAATACAGCATTGAGAAATGAATAGGTGGTGGAGTGTGCATTGAATATTAACTAAATAGCGTTTCTGGTTTGTGGTGCTCAGATGCAGTGTGGTTCTGCTTTAATGTAAGGTCTGGATCACTTATATAGTGGCTGTATCAGCACAATCCCACTGATGAATCAGGAATATTGCTAACAAACCTAGCTTATATCAGGCAATCCGTCTGCCTGAAAGCACTAAAATTTTTATATGAATCAAAGTTGCTTACTGTGGTTAAAATTCCTGATGTCTAAGGAGCAGCACTTACAGCACACATATGTACATGACCATGCTCGGGGTAAATGCAAATGGTTCCTGCAGTAAATTTTTTTCGAGCAAGCATGTACGATACTTCTCCCCAAAATGTGGCAATTTCACATTTAGGAAGAAGCACCATGCGCAAGGTAGTGTACAGATATTTGTATTGACAGCTGTATGTGGCACACACAGCTCCCTAGACACCAGAAAGGGCCAGAGAATGTCACACCTCAGCACACAGAACCTGCGAAGAGTCTGCATGAGGCCTAAACATGAAAGCCCACTGTAATGCTAGTACACACTGTACTGTTACCTATTGGTAGGGAATCAACCACATTCACCAGGCCAGTTAAATTAAGAACAAAAAACATTTGATTTAAAGCTGAATTCCAGGCATTCATAAAAGCACAACTTACATTTAAAAATGTATTACAAAACAAAAAACACAACAACATACAACTGAATATCAGATGTGTATTGGTGGTGCTTTGCATTGTAATTTTTGTTTTACTTTAATAAAATGACATTTGACCAACAACTTCGGGTGATGGTTTCTGGTGTGAATGGGGAACATAGAAACAACTGTCTTCTAGGGGAGTTTGTAGTGACTCACCTTCAAGTGCAGAAAAAAAAAAAAATGCAGGTTTCAGCACAGGGTGAAAACAAGCCCTAAATGTTTTTGAATGCAAGTATTTTAACCGTTTTGATATTAGCCTCATGCAATCCACTTTATTAGGTACACCTGTTCAATTGCTTGGTAACACAAATTGCTAATCTGCCAATCACAAATGCAGCAACTCAATGCATTTAGGCATGTAGACGAGGTGAAGACGACTTGCTGTAGTTCAAACCAAGAATCAGAATGGGGAAGAAAGGGGATATAAGTGACTTTGAACATGGCATGGCTGTTGGTGCCAGATGGGCTGTTCTATTTCACAAACTACTGATCTACTGGGATTTTCACACACAAGCATCTCTAGAGTTTAGAGAATGGTCTGAAAAAGAGAAAATATCCAGTGAGCAGCAGTTGTGTGCACGAAAATGCCTTGTTAAGGTCAGAGAAGAAAAATGTGCAGACCGGTTGCTGCGACATTCAGATGTAGGGTCAGAATTTGGAGTAAACATGAAAGCATGAATCCATCCTGCCTTGCAGCTGGTGGTGTAATGGCGTGGAGGATATTTCTTAGTATTAAGTGCAAGGTGTACCCAATAAGTGGCCAGTGAGTATAGGTCAGTCAGGCTCTGCTGTGTGAACATGTGCCAAGAACAAGCTGGAGAAGAGATGATTTAATTTGCCATTCCTTGAGCTTGTCCTCTAAAAGCTGTGCGAGTGTGCAATCACCTGAAGGTACACATCTATAACCCTACGGCTATGAAAATTCTGCTTCTGTTCTGTACAATTAAGATAGATGGGTATTGCATACCTCATACAAATCAGTAAAGACCAAATCAGTGGTGTCTTGGAGTAGCACAAAAAACAAAAAAAAAAAAAATTCTTACCCAAAGCCAAAATTCCAAGACCATTCACCATAGTAGTGTGAGAGTCAGTACCAAGTATAGTGTCTGGATATAAGAGATCTTTCTGATCCATCACAACTCGGGATAGGTACTCCAGATTCACTTGGTGCACAGTTCCAGTTTCTGGAGGAATCACAGTCACATTCTGAAAGGCCTTTGAACACCACTGACACAAATAAAGCAAAACAGACACACATTATGTTAAACCAATACAGCATATAAAAATATTAAAGCAAATAGTCAAAATACCAAATTTTTCTAAAGTGAACCTGTACTTTAATCACGCAGGGCAAAGAAACAATTTTATTTTAATGTAGCCCCCACTTCCAGTAGGATATACTCTTCCCCATCCTCCCAATTTTCTGTTCAGCCAATGGGTGCTATTTGCCTTGCACAAGGGTATAGACTGACACGTGTCAGCAATGACTGGCCCAGCACTATCACATGTTCGTCCACACCCATATATTCAACCAACATATTCTTGGTCGCCTGACACTGGACAGAGAGTTGGGACAGTAGAGGAAAGTTAAGTATATGCTGTAGGTATGTGTGAGAAGAAAAGAACAGGCTTGCTTTAAGTATATCTAAAGCCAAAAACTTGCTTTTCATTTTGGATACATTGGGGGAGAGAGAAAACCCCTGACAGTTTTATTTTGGCCATTTGTGTCTCATTGGGGAGATTCCCTTTCACTCCCCTGTCCTGTTGACTCAACAGGAAGTGAAAGGACAGTTATGTGTACAAGTGTCACCAGTGGAAGTTTTCCCCTCCATCCTCGTTTTGGTGGCAACCCAACATTTTGAATATACCCCAATTTTCATTCTGGATGACATTAGTTATCAAGGCAATTAGAGAGTGCAAATCTCTAATGGGCACCCAGGCAGCAATAAAATCCTTACCAGGGAAATATCCCCTCAAACCTAAAACAAGTTATGCCTTAGTTATATTTAACTAGTAATATGAAAGAGCAGCAATAAAACATTTGTCATGTCACCCCCTACAGCGAAAGGCCTATGATTTATAACTTAATTTGACGGTTTTCCCAATACTGATAGAGAGCAGAGAGTGACCCTCTAAACCATAGGTCCCAAACCAAGTCCCATCATGCCTCTGACTTTGGGAGTCATGTTTTTAACTGTCAGCCTTGCAATGCCTCATGGGACTCATGGTTACACAACAGCTGGAGGGCCGCAGTTTGACACCCCTGCTCTAAACCCTTCTGCACAGGTTACTTAGGTTTGTCTGTGCAAGAGTCATCATCTTATCTCCAGTGGGTCATTCACTGGGATCACAGCTCTTTAAACATTTTAGGAATTCTGCTTCACAACGCTATAGGGAAGACATGGGGCTGACAATCTGGTCACACGTCACACATAGTACCATCTCCCTTCTCTAGAACCACATTTGATGCAACTTGTTCACACTGCCTGTCTCTTTTGTTTATAATAATTTAGCAGAATGCATTATATGCAGTAAAAGAAAGTTACTAATAAATAAAGCTAGACAGTTTTACCTTTTGTTTAATACAGCTTTAAATGGAACATGTCAAAACAACAATATGAGTATTGTTAAGGCTGACTTGGTACAGAAAGTGCAAACTGCAAATCCGTAATCTCACTGCTACAGACAACTATTTGTATATTTATGGCAGAATACACAAGCTTGTTCTAGGTCACTGGTTATCATTGCTGAAGGCTATATTCTTCATGATGTGCCATAAAATCTGGATACTGTAAAAGATATTTTAATGGAGTATAAAAATGTAGACGTTTGAATTTAGGGCGATACCATTTATTGCCCAACTAAACAGCTTCCAGTAAATCGTTTATTATACCTTTAAAAACTGAAGTCTCTCTTTATTCCTGTTAAATTCAATCTCAAGACTTTTCAGTGCAGCTTCAGGCCTATGACAGCACCAAGGAAAAAAGTGTTAACATAACGATTATGCTTTCTGGAAACAAGTTTAAATTAGGACATATTCACAAAGCCATTCAGACTTACTCGGGAATGGGTTGTAAATGGAAAGGACATAGCATTGGTGTGTTTTCAATCTGCTCCTGAGAGCTCCTGTTCGTTGCTCCAACATTACAGGCTGCCCTGCATCCACTCTGTCCTCTACAATGAGATTTAGAAACTGACGATTTGGCTGGAGAAAGCTTGGATGTGGGTCTGTGTGAATCCGCAGAAGCTACACTTGGGGCATTCTGTGCCACACTGGAATAAAGAAAGAATTTATAGAGGATTAAAAACAGTATGCAATTTTAAAGTCTCAGCCTCAGCTCCATCATTAGGATAGCCTTATCAGAATACTTACATTTACCTAAAGCAAACAACCAATTTTCTGTACTGCAGGATAGTCTGAACAAATTTAAATGGATAGTTATTGGAGCTGCACTAAAACCTATTTTCAATAACAGAATTGTACTATTGTGAGAGAAGAAGAATCCTAAAGACTAAGACTAGAAACAGCTCTAGACCTGCTTTTCAGAACATAAAACACAATATCAGTACCATATTGACATGGATTTTCACTGTTGCAATATCTACGTGTCCTTCATTTTACACAAAACGTTTTCCAAGAAGTTCTCACTCTACCCCTCTCTCCCTGTCTGGACAGTGCTGATTGGCCTTGTGCTGATCACATGCACCCTCCCAAAGAAAAAAAAACAAAACAAAAACTCCAGCAATACATGTGCAGAGTGCCTCCTATGGCTCTGTACTATCAGCAGATGGATTGGGGACGGTTTGAAGAAGGGGATGATCAGAGAAGATAGGATCAAGCAGCCATTTTAAAAGATTAACCTCTTAGGTTCCACAGGGAGTAGCACAAGCATGCTTTACTGCATATACAGACTGATTTTACAGGTTGTGGGTTTAATAACACTAAGTTTCACAACTGTTAGGCAGAATTGACACATGGAAAAAAAAAATTCCCCCTGGAAGCTAAGAACATAATGTGCTAGTATAGATACAAATCAAACAGGTGATTTTAATACTTTAACAACATCTAACACCACCCCTTTCTTACCTTCTGTATAAAACAGAATGTAATAGTACATTTTGGGAGAAGAGATACTTTAAAACAGAGCTTGCATCCTGTGAATCTTCCTGCATATTCAGAGTTAATTTTTATTTTTAGGGTGTCAAAAAGAAATATTGATAACAATATAAATGTCAGAGGTTTTCAATCAACAGCCCTTTATTAAATATTTGATGAACAGCTAATCAAGAAGAGCCCCTAGAATGATTTCAATATCTTGGAAAAAAAAAAAACCTCATAAATGTAATTAACATACACATAGAATATTTACACAGAAATGTGCAATACCATTTAGTAAAATCCAGCTGTAAAGAATGGTCTGCAATGAGGTCTGTGGCACAAACTGGGTTGATTAATGCAGGATCTCTATTCATTTTTTTCACAGCATCTCTCATGGCAGCAAAGTCAACCATAGCGGGAATACCCCTAGAATAACAAAAATACAACATTTTTAAAAGGAGGTATTAATGAGCAATGAGAAAGAACAAGCATACTAGTTTGTAGACAAAAAAAAATACCTTAGGAAATATTTTAGCTGTTACTTAGCAAATGCGTGTCAATTCAAGAACAAGAAAAAGTTTGGAATATGAATGTTAGGTTGAGTTTCATCCATACACATGTTATGATGCATATTCATAAACACTGAAGAAAAAAAACAAAAAAAAAAAAAACAACCCTGAAATCTTTAAGTGGAACTAAAGTCTGCAAAGGGATGGGTGGACTTTTGTCATAATGTTCAAATATGAATCTGGAATGTAGTTAAAGTGATTGTAAACACCGGACATAAAATACGAACAAAGGATATCCCTCTATAGCGTGTACCGATCTCAATCCAGAGCACTAAGTGTTTTATTTCTTTCCACTGCCTCGCTCTTCTGCTATCTGCATGCGTCACTTCTGACAATTTTTCCAGACACCAAGAGAGAAATAGTGACTGGGAGGGCACAGCCTGTGATTGACAGACTCAGCTCTGTTTCTGTGCTGTGTGGAGGGGGGAGAATTGTGCCCCTTTCCGCCAATCAGCTCTTGGAGCTCTGCTTACTGCAATGTGTAATTTAGCACTCTGCCCCCAGCTCTTCAGAGACAGAAAACCTGTGTAAAATCAGCACTTTCAACAGATGTAGAGAAGACGTCAGATAGACAGGTATAACCCAAGTAGCAGGGTTTGTTTCATCTCTGTGTATCACCTGAGGCCAGTCAATTTACTGGGTGTACGTAAGGGTTTACAACCACTTCAATTTAAACTAGGCCTCACTTACACAGAAGCAAAATGTATTCCTATTTTGAAACTTTTTTTTCAGAAGTGTAACAGGTGTTTTTGTATTGTTTTGTTTCCTGGGCTGGGCAAGAAATAAAAAAAACACCTAAAATATGCTCAAGAAATAAAAAAGCTCAAAAGTTTTTTTGAGCATAGGGCATACTGCACACAAGTGTGAACAGGTGTGAACAAATACAGTTAGAAAGATTAGGGTTCTGCATAATCACAGAGGAAAACTAGCAGAAAAATGTTCGTGAATGGGGGCTAAGGTTTTACTTGGACTTAAATGTATAGCCATATCAAAATATAGAAGAATTATTTTTTCATGTTCAACTTGAAATGCTATGCTTACTTGGGGATATTGACGAGAAGAGCTTCCCTCCAGAGACTAGAATTCCTATAATATGTGCGGTTTATTGCCCTCAAACTGATAGCTATGAAGTGGTGCATACAAAGTGAATAATACCCTACATAATTGAAAAACAGATCTATATCAATACAGGGGCACTCATTTTTTTCCCAAAATTATGGGAACCATGGCTTATGGTACCAGGACTTGCCCCTTTCTCCCTGGTTTAATTCTGGTTGCTACAATGTTAACTCCAATAGCTGGGGTGGTATCATTACAGAAGTAGGCAGGTTTTCACATTTCCTTGGCTTGAGTTACACACCCTCCTGAATAGTGGTGAGAGCTAGAGGTTTAGGCACACGTGGGTACTTACCTACAGGCTTTTGGGTGTATGCAGACACTTTTTTGGTATTGGTTCTATTTTGGTTGTTTGACTGTTATATACAAGTAATGTTGAACTTTGATAAAACCCTTATATGTACTTACTTGCTGTTGGAACAGAGATAGACTCCCTGTGTGTGCTTTGTGTGTTTCAACATGATACTCTGCCATGTATAACTAACATGCTTCTATTGGAAGTACTTACATTCATACTACTTTTCTTTGTGATATATTTTTGAATCACAAGAAAAAAAAAACAAAAAAAAAAACTTTTCTAATAAAAATATAAATTTGATTTAAAAAAAGAAAAAAAAATGCAAATAAAATATTAACGTTTTGTTTTTTTTTTTTTATATTTATTCATAGTGAGTGGATACCACAGTACTTTTCCCCTTTGAAGGATCAGAAAAGGAAGACTAGCTCTCTACTGTGAAATGCTGTAATTATACTATAGAGGCTAGCTCCTTTTTAAATTGAAACGCCCATAAAGCAGTTATGTTACTTACGTGAAATCCTGCAAAACTACACGAGCTGGAAGGAAGGGCACCTCTTGATTTTCACATTTACTCTTCCATTTCAAGACTTTGAAGACATCCTCTTCTTTTACCAAGACACCATCACAGTTTCGCACCATAGTTTCCAGCACCACACGTATACAGTATGGCAAAGTGTCTGCAGTGAGGAAATAATATGCACAAACATTTCACTTTTTTTCTTTTAATATTTGTTCAAATAATGAAAAGATAAGAAAGGCCTTCAAAATCAAGAAAAAAAAAAACCTCAATTGTAGAAACCAACTTACCATAATCTGATGTCTGCAGTTTAGATACATTAAAGAATGTCTTGTTAGGACTGCAATCAAGAGATTCCACCAAGTACTTGAAAGGATTCTCTAACGAAGTACAAACCCACAGTCAAAATTATTGGCAAGTTTAAAGTGTATTTACACAAAAACATTTTTTGGTAATTATTTTGATAGAATTGCAAATAGATAGAACCCATCAGATTTTACTGCTATCCATGATTTTGTTAGATTGCCCCTTACTCGCTGTTCTGGGGACAACCTTTTGACCACTCTACCTAACACTAAAAAAAATGTTTTGGCTATATGTACATTTTAATAAAAGCCTTTCAAAATAGGATATAGGAGCTACCATTGCTGATGCTGACAAGTTTTAGGGCTGTCATATTTACCCTTGGAAACACTGAAATCAGTGCTGAGTCTTTGTTCTAAAAGAACAGTAGCATAATTAATCAGTACTTGTATCCAGAACAAACGAAACTGCAGCTCCCCCACACCACATACAGAAGTTAGACGCATAAAATGAAAATAATAATAAAAAAAAAAACAAAACAAACAGCAAAAAGATTGGGAAGGGCACCAATCTGGTGCAATACATACTAACACTTTATTAAAGTATTGACCACTCCCTGCCCATTGTCAAATGATGACCATGCAGAACTTTCATCTTTTTCGGGTGGATGTCATATGATATCCTCCTGCAAAGTGGCCACACTGCACGGCCAATGGACACAGCAGATGACAGATCGCTGTACCGGGCAGCTGCTGGTACCATGTGATCGCTATCACTAATCACAGCAGATCACATGACAACTGTAAACAATGAATGGCTTCAATTCATGCCATTCATTGTGTACAACTGTGTTGCTAGCTGTGATTTGTCACAGTGGGCACATGATACAGACAGGGCTAATCACAGCCCATCTGTACCATGCGATTAGCTGAGGCCAACCACAGCTGATCACAAGCACACACACTGAATCAATTCTATTCAGTAAAAAATGGTTGCTTATACCAGTGAGATTCACTGGTACAAGCAATCAACTTGTAAAAAAAAATTTTCCCCTACATACTGTCACCAGTGTCCCTGATCACCACCACACCAGTTATATGATGCTGTATTGCATTGGCGACAGTATGTAAAAAAATAAATACATAAACAATTGTGAAAAATAAAAAAATTAATTTCATAATTTTCCAAAAAATTACAACTTCAAAAACAAAAAAAAAAAAAAAAAAAAAAAAAAAACTTGCCATGCCTCTTACTAAATAACGTGGACTGTCTACTTTCCAAAAAAAAAAGGAGTCATTTGGGGAATATTTGTACTGTTCTGGCATTTTTGGGCCTCAAGAAGTAGGACAGGCTGTCAGTACATCAGAACTGATGGATTTTCAGATATATACCATAGTCTGTGGACTTTGCTACAGACTAAATAATAAACACGGATTTGGGTTATTTTCACCAGAGAATTGTAGCAGAATACATTTTGGCCTAAATTTATGAACAATTAATATTTTGCAAAATTTTATAACAAAAACAAGAAAAAAACGTGGGGTTTTTTTTTCCCCAAAACAAACGTTCATTCATTTTTTTTTTCGTTCATTTAGCTAAAAATAAACCCCGGTGGTGATGAAATACCACCAAAAGAAAGCTCTATTTATACCCATATGAAATTATCATTCCCCCCCCACACAGTGTTGCATGACTGAGCAATTGTCAAACAGCGACAACTGAAAACTGGCCTGGGCCAATTTTAATACTCTATTAAAATAGTATTCGTGTTTATTGCACCAGATTGGTATGCATCCCCATTTTCTGTTTACATGTTTATCCTTGCACCGTATTGACCTCTGTGAGTCAATGATCATATGTATATTAGGCATCACAACACCTTATCGTCTGCATATTCGTTAAAGACTAGAAATGCAGGAAAGCAAGGATTAGGAAAAAGTATGCAGCTTAAAAAACAAACCAGCAGTTGTAGCTCCCATTTCCCTGTCCTGATAGGTTCCCCTTAAAGAAGAACTATAGTCAAAACTTTCTTTTTCATTTTGGATAGAGTATAGGAGGGTTACTCCCGTCAGATTTTTTTTTTTCGTAATCTGTTCTGATTTCAATTCACTTTCTGTCATAAGCAAAAAGGAAGTGAGAGGAAATCTCTGCATATTAAGGGAATTCCTTTAAAATCTTCCGTAATGGAAGTTTTCCCCTTTATTACTTTTCTGGGGACAACCTAACATTTATGTTTTTCTTTTACTTTCAATATTAACGGTAAACAGAAGGGGAATCTCCCTAATGTGGGAACAGACAGCAATAAAACTGACAGGTGTTCTAATCCATCTTCACTCTATCCAAAACCTAAAAACAAGTCTTGCCTATAGTTATATATAAGTACACAAAGAAAGGCCATCATGTTTTAAATAAAAAATAATGCATCACATACCTGTCAAATTGGTTGTGAAATCCATCATCTTCTTATCTGTCTGCTCAGATCTGCTACCAACCTAAACAAAGAGCACACAGAATGCTTACATTGAAGTATTCATTGTATAAGCCTAATACGTAACACTTCACTAATTAAAGTGGTTCTAAAACCTTCAGGTT